AGTGGTGTGATCTCGGCTCCCTGCAACCTCCGCCTCGGGTTCAAGCACCTCCTGCCTCAAACCCAGAGTGGCTGGTACTACAGGCGCTGTTACCACGCCTAATTTTGTATTTTTGCAGAGACGGCTTGCCATGCTGGCTATGGGCTGGTCTCAAACTCCTGAGCTCAAATGACCTGTCCACCTCCCTGGGAAGTGCTGGGATTGCAGGTGTGAGCCATCACGCCCAGCCCCCATAGCACTTTCTAAGGTACTTCATCCTTTGCCTATTGACTGCTTCTCTTCTTTTTGCTAGGAGTTCAGCTTCCACAAGGACAAACAGTTTGGTTTGTTCACAGCCGTATCCTCAGGACCAAGAACTGTGCCTGCCACAGGAGGGGCTCCCAAAAGTGTTTGCTGAATGAATAGACAGGTGTTTACTCTCTGGGTGGGGTCCAGAGGGGCTGAGAGGGTTCAAAGGAACGGGTGCTGTGCCATTGTTTTAGCTGTGGATAGGTGCACAGGTTATTACTGTTATTAACGACATGATTTATTATTTAAACATACATATATGAGCTGGGCACTGTGTTTTGCGCCTATAATCCCAGCATTCTGGGAGGCCGAGGCGGGTGGATCACTTGAAGCCAGGAGTTTGAGACCAGCCTGGCCAACATGGTGAAACCCCTACTAAAAGTACAAAAAAATTAGCCAGGTGTCATGGTGGGCACCTGTAGTCCCAGCTACTCGGGAGGCTAAGGAATGAGAATGGCCTGAACCAGGGAGGCAGAGGTTGTGGCGAGCTGAGATGGTGCCACTGCACTCCAGCCTGGGTGACAGAGCAAGACTCTGTCTCAAAAAATTAAACAAATAAAAAACCACTAAACTATACATATATGATACACCAACAAGATTTGCTAGGGCGCCAAACCACCTGATTTTAAAGTTCACGTGGAAAATTCATACAGGCAAGAATAGCAGGAGGTCAGGCACCTGTAATTCCAACACTTTGGGAGGCCGAAGTGGGAGGATCGCTTGAGACCAGCCTGGGTAATGGAGCAAGACCCCATCTCTACACAGAAAGCTGAAAGATTAGCGGAGCATAGTGGCACACGCCTGTAGTCCCAGCTACTGGGAAGACTGAAGTGGGAGGGTTGAGCCAAGGAGGCAGAGGCTGCAGTGAGCCGAGATCCTGCCACTGAAATCCAGCCTGGGCAACAGAGCAAGACCCTGTCTCAAAAAAGGAAAAGAAAAAAAGACTAGTAGAAAAATTCTGTAAAAGAGCCATGAAGGGAGACGGTCCTGTCAGATATAAAAATCCTCAGGCTAGGCACAGTGGCTCACGCCTGTAATCCCAGCACTTTGGGAGGCTAAGGCAGGTGGATCACCTGAGGTCGGGAGTTCGCGACCAGCCTGGCCAACACGGCGAAACCCCATCTCTACTAAAAATACAAAAATTAGCCGGGCATGGTGGCGGACACCTGTAATCTCAGCACTTTGGGAGGCCGAGGCAGGCAGATCACGAGGTCAGGAGATCGAGACCATCCTGGCCAATATGGTGAAACCCCATCTCTACTAAAAATACAAAAAATTAGCTGGAATTTCCAGAGCCGGAACAACTGGAAATTCTGGCCACACGAGACTGAATCTCACTTGATTAGCACTGGCCCAGCTCATGGCCAGGGTGGGCTGACTCCAGCTCCAGGTCCCTACACATCCCATAGCCTCCCTCCCAGCCGGCATGGTAGACTCCACAACACGCCCACCCCGCCCTCAGGAGTTTCTGAGCCCGCATCACTCAGCACTTTATAAAGGGAAGGCACATGCCCACCTCGCTGATCCGATGAGCGCAGTGCAAACCCAAGACCTTGTTTGTCACCTGAGCACACAAGGGGAGTTTAAAAGGGAAAGGACTGTCCCAGGTTCACTCAGCTGGCCGTGTCAGGAAGCCACGTTGTTTCGCCCAGCTCAGCACATTCTCCATCCCACGACAGCATCTCCTCCAGCTGTTCCTCACTCCTGGGAGAGCTGCCGCCGACCACCCTCTGGAGCAGGCCTCGCCGCGAGTCTCTTCCAGAGCGTGTGTATTTCCTCGTTACATCCAGAGAATGCTCCAACCGCCATGTACCTGGCTGACCGGTTTATCTCTGCTTCTCTTCCAAGAATCTAGGCCTCTGCCCGGATTCCTCCCGCTCAACTCCAGGGGGTGCCCCTTGTGAGCGGCGCCCTCGGGAGTTGTGGATGCTGAGGTCTGGCTCCCACTGAGAGAGGGACGGTGGGCTCTTGCTCACTGCAGCCTCACTGAGCCGGGCCTGTAGTGCACCTTAGAAAAGATTTCTGGCAGGGCACAGTGGCTCACACCCGTGAGTCCCAGCTACTGAGGAGGCTGAGGTGGGACAAATGTCTGAGCCCGGGAGTGTGGAGGCTGCAGTGAGCCATGATGGTGCCACCGCACTCCAGCCCACGTGACAGAGTGAGACCTTGTCTCAAAAAGAAAAAAGAACGAAAGAAAAAAAATTCCTGGATAAAAAGCAAAGTACAGAAATTGCTTGTGCCAGAAGCTGCTCTGAAGGCAAGACACACCAGCTCCACTCACCATTGTGAAAAGCCTCTCCCCAGTCACCAGCCCCTGGGACGTTTCAGCCTGCCCCTGGGGCTGGGCACCCACCCCAGGTCCAGCAGAGCATGGCCACAACATTCACCAACATTTAGTCCAAGACACCTGACCAAACCTCCCAGAGTGTGGCTTTCTGGGGATGTGTGCAGTAGCTGTATGGCCTCGCCCGGTCATTTTGGCAACACTGAGACCCCAAGCTCCTGCTGTAAATGGGATGAGGGTGAGGCAGGGAGGGGATCCAGTGAGAGATGTTTGCAAAGTGCTTAGTATCTTGCCTAGTCTAGGGCAAGTCCTTGATATCCTCAGTAAGAATAGTGACAAATATACAACGGCCTTGGACAGTGAAGTCCCTTACCTGTGGCACCAGGTTCCTCTTGCAAGAGGAGCTCCCAGACTCCTCATTCAAGTGGCTATTGCCTTTCAAAGACCTGGGGGAGGCAGAAGGCTGCTGGGTGCCTGGAGGCCACAAAGAGGAGGGCAGAGGACATCAGATGAAAAGGAGAGGAGGGCCAGGGATGGTGGCTCATGCCTGTAATCCCAGCACTTTGGGAGGCTGAGACGGGCGATCACCTGAGGCTTGTGGGAGTTCGAGACCAGCCTGGCCTACATGGTAAAACTCATCTCTACTAAAAATATAAAACTTAGCTAGACATGGTGGTGTGTGCCTATAATTCCAGCTACTTGGGAGGCTGAGGTATGAGAATCACTTGAACCCAGAAGGCAGAGGTTACAGTGAGCTGAGATTGTGGCACTGTACTCCAGCTTGGGGGAAGAGAGCTTAGATTTGGTTCCAAAAAAAAAAAAAAAAAAAAAAGGAGAGAAGAGCAGCGAAAGGGAGGAAAGGGAGGTCACCACAAAGGGTGAGCAGTGTCCCATGTTTTTTTTTTTTTAAAGACAGAGTCTCACTCTGTCGCCCAGTGTGGAGTACTCATGGTGTGATCTCGGCTCACGGTAAGCCCCACCTCCCGGTTCACGCCATTCTCCCGCCTCAGCCTTCTGAGTAGCTGGGACTACAGGTGCCCACCACCATGCCCAGCTAATTTTTTTGTATTTTTAGTAGAGACGGGTTTCACCGTGTCAGCCAGAATGGTTCCCGATCTCCTGACCTCGTGGTCTGCCTGCACTGGCCTCCCAAAGTGGTGGGATTACAGGCATGAGCCATCGACCAGCCCTTGTTTTCTTTTTAATTGAGACAGGGTAACACTCTGTCACCCAGGCTGGGGTACAAGGACATGATCATGGCTCTCTGCAGCCTCGACCTCCTGGAGATAAGCAATCCCTCCCAACTAAAGCTGCCAAGTAGCTGGGACCACAGGCATGTGCCACCGTGACCAGCTGTTAATTTTCCCTGTTTTTTTTTTTTTTTTTTTTTTTTTTTTGATACAGGGTCTCGCTATGTTGCTAACGCTGGTCTCTACTCCTGGGCTCAAGCTGTCTTCCACCTCAGCTTCCCAGTGTACTGAGATTACAGGTGTGAGCCACTGCGCCTGGACTGTGTCCCGTGTTTCAATGGCATGTTTACAGCGGCAGGGTGTGTGTGTGCGCGCCTGCGTGTGGTGGGGCAGTGGGGGGCAGGGTGTGTGTGGCGTAAGGGCATGCGTGTGGTGGGCAGTGGGGGCAGGGTGTGTGTGCGTGCGTGCGTGTGGTGGGGCAGTGGGGGCAGGGGTGTGTGTGTGCGTGCGTGGCGTGGTGGTGGGGCAGTGGGGGGTGCAGGGGTGTGTGTGTGCGTGCGGCGTGTGGTGGGGCAGTGGGGGCAGGTGTGTGTGCGTGCGTGCGTGTGGTGGGGCAGTGGGGGCAGGGTGTGTGTGTGCGTAAGGTGCGTGCAGGGGCAGTGGGGGGCAGGGGGTGTGTGTGTGCGTGCGTGCGTGTGGGTGGGCAGTGGGGGCAGGGTGTGTGTGCGCGCGTGCGTGTGGTGGGGCAGTGGGGGGCAGGGGGTGTGTGTGCGTGCGTGCGTGTGGTGGGGCAGTGGGGGGCAGGGGTGTGTGTGCGCGCAAGTGCGTGTGGTGGGGCAGTGGGGGCAGGGGTGTGTGTAAAAGGCTGCTGCGGCGTGGGTGGTGGGGCAGTGGGGGGTGCAGGTGTGTGGGTGTGTGTGCGTGCGTGTGGTGGGGCAGTGGGGGGCAGGGTGTGTATGTGTGTGCGTGCGTGTGGTGGGGCAGTGGGGGGCAGGGTGTGTATGTGTGTGCGTGCGTGTGGTGGGGCAGTGGGGGGCAGGGTGTGTATGTGTGTGCGTGCGTGTGGTGGGGCAGTGGGGGGCAGGGTGTGTGTGTGCCTGCGTGTGGGTGGGCAAGGGGGCAGGGTGTGTGTGCGTGCGTGTGGTGGGGCAGTGGGGGCAGGTGTGTGTGTGTGCGCGTGCGTGTGTGGTGGGGCAGTCGGGGGCTTCTCCTCCTTCAAACAACAAATATGTGAGGAGTTCAGGAGGAGGAGGGGGTCCCTGACGAGGAGGGCTGGGTGAAGGTGACCCGCCGGGGCCGGCGGCCTGTGCTCCCCCGGACTGAAGCAGCCAGCCTGCGGGTGCTGGAGAGGGAGAGACGGAAGCGCGCCCGAAAGGAGCTGCTCAACTTCTATGCCTGGCAGCACCGGGAGAGCAAGATGGAGCGTAAGCCACGCCCAGCCCGTCCTCAGGCCCCTCGGCCTTGGCCCCAGCCTTGGATGAGGCCTCTGGCCAGGGCTCCTGACAGCGGGCACTGAACCTGCTGGTCGCAGAGGGAGGGCGTCCCTAAGCACAGGGCTCCCACTAGGCTCTGGAAAGAGGCCCAGCCTGGCAGCACCCTGTGTGGCGGTCCCCCATCACCCCCAGGGCCAGATGCATTTGCTCAATGGGTGGGACCCTGGGTCATCAGTGCCCACCTCTGGGCTCCTGTGCACTTAGTGCTGGCGCTCGTCAGCCCCCAGCCAGCAAGGAGTTCGAGTGCAAAGGGGGCCTCCGAACCCACTGTGGGTGCAGGGAGGGTGCTGCAGAGTATGTGTGTTGGAGTGGTGGTGGTGGTGTGTGTGTCTCTGTATGTGCTGTGTATCAGGTGGCCCTGCACAGCGCCTGTGTGTGGGTGTACAGGTATGTGGTGATGTGGGTGTGTGGTGGTGTGTGGGTGTGCGGGGGTGTGGTGGTGTGTGTGGGTGTGTGGGTGTGTATAGGTGTGCAGGTGTGGGTGTGTGGGTGTGGTGTGGGTGTGGTAGTGTGTGCGGGTGTGTGGTGTGTGCGGGTGTGTGGTGGTGTGCGGGTGTGTGGGTGTGCAGGTGTGTTGGGTGTGTGCGGGTGTGTCGTGTGTGCAGTGTGGGTGTGCGGGTATATGCAGCATGTGCAGGTGTGATGTGTGTGGGTGTGGTAGTGTGCGGGTGTGGTGGTGGTGTGCGTGGTGGTGTGGGTGTGGGTGTGTGGGTGTGTGGGTGTATGGTGGTGTGTGTAGATGTCCAGGTGTGTGTGCGGTTGTGTGTGGGTATGCGGGGGTGTGTGTGTGGTGTGGGTCAGGTGGCCTGCACAGGACCCTCTCCTGGCTGTGCACCTGATCACCTGTGACCCACTCCTGGTGCTGCGGCTGAGCCTCCTGTCCCACTGCCTGGTGTCCCTGTCTACAGGACAGCTTCCCTGTGGGCCCAGGAGAGGAGTCTCCTTGCCCTGCCTAGGGCACAGGGAGGGGCTCTGCAGCAGGCCCTGAGCCATCCGTCCAGTCACTGGTGCTTTCCCTGCCTCGCTGGCCCTCTTGGCTCCCACTTGTGCTCGCTCTAGACCCTCAGCTTCCCCCTCCATGCCACCAGTCTGCCACTGACCTGGGCCACCCGGTGACCAGAGTTACCATCGGCATTCACCAGCACTAGGGGTGGGGTCCCTTTACCGAGTCTCAGGGTCGCTCCAGGCCGAGCGGTCAGGACTCCTTCCTTCCCCCTTGCGCAGGGGTCGGGGTGGGGGCGGATGCCTTTGCTTTGCTTCATCTCCACGCTCGGGGTGCATCTCCCACTTTGGCCTTGACCTTGGACTTGGCCTGCCGTCGGGTTGTTTCCTTCCAGGATCCAGACCCTGCCCCCAAAGCAGAGCTGGGAAGGGGGCTGGGTTGGTGGGGGAGACATGCCCCCCGCGCCCCACAATAACTGGGAGGAGGGGTGGGGCATGAGCAAGCCGGCTGTCCTGGGGGCGTGCTGTCTGACCCTGCCCCGCGCCTCCTCTCGCCCCCAGATCTAGCGCAGCTGCGCAAGAAGTTCGAGGAGGACAAGCAGAGGATTGAGCTGCTGCGGGCCCAGCGCAAATTCCGACCCTACTGAGCTGCGAGAGCCGCAGTGATGGCTGGAGGTGCGGGGCCTGGAGGAACATGAGGCCAGGCAGGGACTGCAGCCATCTCCGAGAGGCCGAGCTCTGGGAAACGGGCCCCAGGTTGAGGCCACCCCGTCCAGCAGCCCCATGAGGGTCCACACAGGCCAGGAGTGAAGGGCCAGGCCACCCCTCGGGTCTTGGGCTTCAGCAGTCCTGGGCACCTGTCCCTTCCTGGGTGTGCCCAGAGGAGGACTTGTCCCTTCCGTCTCCTGCCTCCACACCCTCCTGTCAAGGACCCTGCATGAATCCGCTCTGTTTTCCCTTTTCCCTCAATGGAAAAGCCCTTGATGGTAACGAAACAGCCTCAAAAGCAGTGAGAATGCGAGAAGCTTTTATTTTCCACCCAGTTGGGCAGCAGGGAAAGGCTAGGAGGCCCCAGCCCGCCCTTCCTTCCTCCAGCTGGCTGGAGGTTATTAGCCAGGAGACAGCAGCCCTCCGAACCCAGACTCTGTCTCCCTCTTGAGGTCACAGATGTTGAAGTTGGAGTCTCACTCCTTCCCCTGACTACACCCTAGGCTGGGCGTCAAGACCAGTAGGGCAGCCTGTCCCCACCACGCCTGGCCTTGTTGCGGGGCTCAAGGGAACTCACATTCCCAGTGTTGAGTCTGGCATACGAGGTCGTCGTGTCAGAGCTACAGTCAGGCCCAGAGCTACAGCTAGGCTGTGAGGCGTGTATTTGTGCTGTAAGAAGATCATGGGGTCAGGAGATGGAGATCAGTCTGGCCAACATGGTGAAACCTCGTCTCTACTAAAAATACAAAAGTCAGTCAGGTGTGGTGGCGGGCACCTGTAGTCCCAGCTACTCGGGAGGCTGAGGCAGGACAATCGCCTGAATCCCTTCCAAGACCAGTGAGGCCTGTCCCCTGCATGTGTTGCGGGAGGCCTCGGGAACTCAGCATTCCCAGTGTTGGAGTCTGGCAGCACGAGTCGTCGTGTCCAGAGCTGGGTCAGGCCCAGAGCTACAGCTAGGCTGTGGCGTGTTGTGCTGTAGAAGGAGCTGATACTGGCCACGTGCTGGGGTTCGCTCATGTGGACACAGTGATTTGCCTGGGACTTCCTGAAACTGGGACCGCTGGAGGAGGGAGATAGTGTGTGGTGAGGTGCAGCAGAGAATTTGTGCTGTAAGAAGGAGCTGATGATACTGGCCACGTGCTGGGGTTCGCTCATGTGGACACAGTGATTGCCTGGGACTTCCACAAACTGGAACCGCTGGAGAAGGGAGAGGGTGTGTGGTGAGGTGTGGCCAGAGGAGCCTAGGGAGCTCCTTAGGCCCTTGGGGTCAGGGCCCTCCCACAGCCTTCAGGCTCCCTGCAGGGCAGGAGCGGCTCCCATGGTGAGTTTCCCGCACACTCTACACCTTGGAGCCCGGTCAGTCCATAGCACCCCAGAAGGTATGTGAGCCCTGGGGACTTGGAGGCCTCCCAGCTGAGTTGCGAAGTTGCACGTCAGGGACAGGGCGGGGCCGAGGCCAGGGTTGCTGTGATTGTATTAGAGGAGGTCCCCGTGAGAAAAAATAATCAGATGTTGGCATGAGCAGCCTGCAGATTTGTGCCTGCCTTCAAGAAGCCAGACGGGAAGGCCCTGTCTGCCTTGGCTCTGACCAGGCAACCAGCCAGCCACAGGTACGCTTCTTCCCTTTGTGACAACGCCAGGAAACCTGCAGAGGCCCCAGAGTCAGGTGTTTGTGGGTAGGTGACCATGAATCACCAGGTGCTCCGAGGAACCCGGGCACAGCCACCCCCACCTACAGCCAGCACACCCACTGGCGCGATGGGTGCGGAGGGAAGAGGCAGCCAGGTGTTCTGCTGTGGTTTGGGAGCCTATAAAATGTGAGACTAGGCTGAGCACGGTGGCTCCTGTCTGCAAAAGGAGCACTTCGGGAGGCCAAGTCGGGCAGATCGCCTGAGGTCAGGAGTTTGAGACCAGCCTGGCCAACATGGTGAAATCCCATCTCTTAAAAATATAAGAATTAGCTGGGCATGGTGGCAGGTGCCTGTAATCCCAGCTACTCAGGAGGCTGAGGCACGAGAGTCTCTTGAACCCGGGAGGCGTAGGTTATAGTGAGCCAAGATCTTGCCACTGCACTCCAGCCTGGGCAACAGAGTGAGACTCCATCTCAAAAAAAAAAAAAAAAAAGCGGGGGGACTATTAGCTGGGCATGATGGTGTGCACCTGTAGTCCCAGCTACTCAGGAGGCTGAGGTGGGAGGATCACTTGAGCCCTGGAGTTTGAGGCTGCAGTGAGCCATGATTGAGCCACGGCACTCCAGCCTGAGCAACAGAATGAGACCCTGTCTCAAAACATAAAATAAAAACTGTGGGACTGCCTCTAGCAGTTGGGTCACCTAATTGTGTCTGGCCCAGGAAGGAGGGTGGGTACTCGAGGACGATAAAAGAATCTCCCCACCAAAGGTCTCTGTTTCCTGAATTCTGATGACATGTGTCCCCAGGCCTCTAGGGACTGACCACAGTGGAGCGTGAGGCCTGAGAGATCCTGGTGGTCACTTGTTGGACCTGGGGCCAGACCAGGGGTCTTCCCAGTGCACGAGAAGAGATGGGTGAGGTGGGACCAGAGTGGGTGACAGTGGCCGGACACCAGCTGCCTGAGCCCGCCTTACCTCTTTGAGGGTGGACTTCAGCATGTGTATCATGAATGACAGGGACTCCTTGCTATAGTAACTCTCTCTTCTCACATCAAAATATCCGTGGACTGCTCTGGAAAGTGAGGAGTTGGGGTTGTTGGGGTTCATCTTAGAACCGCCTCCCAGCACTGCCCTCATCCTGCCCTGGGTTCAGGCCTCTGAGGAGAAACCAAAGCCTGGGCTACCCCACCTCCCACAGCCGGGTCCCTTGACCCTGGCTTGGATTTGAGGTTCAGTTAATCTCAGCTCACACTCGGCTGGCACAAGTCAGGCGCAAGCGAGTGCTTAAGGTACAGCCCTGCTGGGGCGCAGGGAGTTCAGGACTTGGCCACAGTCACAGCCCTGAATAGCAGAGCTGGGATCTGAACAGGCTCTGGAGTCCACACTTGCTCTGAGAGAATTTACGTCTTACAATCCTCCCATTGAAAGTCTACAATCC